TATATATATATATATATGTATCGTAATTTCTTAAGTAACTACATTTTATGTTTTGCCTCGACAATTTCTGTAAAATGAAAGCAACTCTGATCTCCGATCTACACTATTTCATCAGTGAAAACTTGCCTTAAAGCGACAAGCGACCTCTAAGTTAAGAAATTTGAATTTCGACAGAGAAAGATTTTTCTTTTCAGAATAATATTACATCGAGTAGGTATTCTTTACTTAAAATATTTTATAATTTATGTTTTTCGCTTATGTTTCATAAAAATATGATGATATATGGATAAAGTGATGATTGTAGTATAATATTTAACGCAATTTTGTTCGTGTTCTTTTAATATTACATAGATATTGGTAGATTAGTGAAATGTGATTAGTTAAATGTAATTTATTTTGTTTTAGCAATGGCTGAAACTTCAGCAAAAAAAACAAAACAGGAGAAAAAGGCTTCAAAGGAAACCACAACCCCAGCAGATAAACCTTCTATCAAAAAGAGACCTTTGAAAAGACATGGCAGGTTATATGCTAAAGCTATATTTACAGGTTACAAACGTGGTCTACGTAATCAACATGAAAATACTGCTCTCCTAAAAGTGGAAGGAACAACTGCAAAAGATGATAGTTGGTTCTATGTAGGAAAAAAGTGTGTCTACGTATATAAAGCAAAAAACAAGACTTGTGTTCCTGGTAAACCTAAGTCTGTTAAATCTAAAGTTAGAGCAATTTGGGGTAAAATTACAAGGCCGCATGGTACAAGTGGTGCTGTTAGGGCCAAGTTTCGGAGGAATTTACCAGCTAAAGCCATGGGACATCGTATTAGAATTGTAAGTACTTCCAGTAAAAATTTTACTGTGCTGCAAAATGTGCTCTGATGTACTTTGTGTATGTCAAAATTTACAGATTTAATATTATATATTTTAAAGTAGAAAAATTGTGGACGAAGAATGTTAAAAGAATCCAAAAACGAACTAGAATATTGATTACGCCTCACTAAATAGTGCACTTATTAGATAACGTGAATATTTTGAAAATCGGATAAATGCATTTAAGTTGATGTTTCCAAAAGAAAGATGTTAATTCATAGTACAAGCCATTTTATTTAATTGTTATTTTTTTTAATTTAAAATAAACCTTGAACATAGTTTAATAAATTGAAAATAACTCCAAAACTTGCAAAAACAATGTATAGGAATTTTTTATTAGAACTTAAATTCAAGGCATTTTTTTTAGAAACACCGACCAGAATCTTCGCCACAAGTTGACAAATTTGTGTAGTATTCAGCAAATTTTGCTCATAATCAATTAATCATACATGGTCTGCCAACATTTTGGTTTATGGTGGATGGTTTATCGATGATCAGACTTTAGCGCAGAGTGCACAGCTTTGCTGTTTTTGTTTGTTCGGCTCACGCGAGGATGCCTGTCCTGTCAGAAGAAACACAGTCCGACGTGATACACATCCCTCACCGTACGCCTTTTATAACATTTGATACGTTTCTGTGACTTTCACCATAAAATAAAACGTGATTGTTATACGCTGTTCAATGTTCGTTTCCATAACTACCAAAAACTCGCTTCATGCAAAACATTATAACTTTGTAGTAGATACACGTATACTGATGAAATTTTATTCAGTCACTTAGAGGGCATTGCTCTACATAGTTCCGTTGACTGCACATAGATACTGCCACGCACTTCACTGCAATAAAATCAGTCTTAAAACTTAATAGCCAGACTTTTCTTAGAAATACCATCCAGTTAATTAATATTAGTTAGAAAATTAGTTTCTGATATACTGATTTAAGATTTAATAGCCAACTAGACTTAACTGATAAATTTTTATCTATAGTGTCAGTAACAACTATTATGAAATTTCAATTTTCCTGAAATGTTATTAATGAAACTCTAATTCGTCACCTCAGTTGAATTATAAACCATAAAATAATCCTTTGTTATTGGTCTATTAGAAGTCGGCTTGATTTTAACAAAACTAAAATCAAAGGTTCCTGTGGTCCAAAATATTGTCTAAAAGATTTTTTCAAATACAGATGATAACCATATGATCTATACAAATTTATTTTTGATATATTTCAAAATGGAGGTCTTCAGATAAACTTGTTGGGAAAAAAGGTAGAGATTTATTACTTTTTTTTGTAAATAGAGAGCACCGTGTTTTTTATACGACCTGCCAAAACCATTGACAAGATTCATCTGGTCAAAACCAATCCTTGTTTAAATATACAGGGTGATTCATTAACAATGGGAAAATCGAAAACTGAAGATACTACACGTGAAATGGTGACCATTGGCGCAAACATGCCTCATCCGAAAGTTGATAGTTTCGGAAATACAGTGTTGAAAGTTAAAATTTGAAATCGTTTTTTTGCGATTATTCTGAAAATATGTAGGTTAGGAACTTGAAAATTTGTGAAACTATATTTTTTTAGGCGACGAATAAAATGCGTGTTGTAATTTCAGCATTGCTCCTAGAGGGCGCCACTTATGACCAATTTTACCGAAAATTTAGTTAATAACTTTTTACTCTGTATGTCTAACATGAAACTTGATTCAAAACCTGAAAGAGCTATAATTTTTGCATTAATTATGTACTCTTGTTTCATTTCGGTATCTCGATCCTTTTTCGAGAAAAATCGATTTAACAAACACTATGTTTTGATAATACGAGAAATTAACAATAAAACAAATTAAATAAGTAATTATGATTTAAAGTAATTGTTCGAAGAATTCACCGTTGACACTGATACACTTTACACGTTTTCTGAGATATCTTCGAGTTTGAAACAACATATTGGGATTGCGTCTGACTTCGTTGGCAGCAATTTGTATTCTTTGCCGCAACTCTTCACACGAGCCAATAGATTCTTTGTAAACTAAATCTTTCATTCGAGACCAAATAGAAAAATTAAGAGGATTGAAGTCCGGACTTCTGGATGGCCAAGCAAAAATGCTTACATGGCCAACCCAGCGATTTGGAAAAACTGCATCTAAATATGCACGCACTGGCCGAGAAAAATGTGGTGGTGCTCTGTTGTGCATGAACCACATGTCTCTTCTTAAATAAAGTGGAACTTCTTCAAGCTGTGGAAGAATTTTCTGGCCACCCAGAAGTCTGGACTTCAATCCACTTCATTTTTGTATTTGGAAGAATCTATTGGTTCGTGTAAAGAGTTGTGGCAAGGAATACAAATCACTGCCAACGAAGTCAAATGCAATCCCAATATGTTGCTTCAAACTCGAAGATCTCTCAGAAAACGTTGTATAAAGTGTAAATGTTAACGGTGGATTCTTCCAACACTGACTTTAAATCATTATTACGAATTTCATTTGTTTTATTGTTAATTGTTATAATAACTTGAAGAAACACTTGGTTTGTTTCGTTTTTAATATCTCGTATTATCAAAATAGTGTTCGTTAAATCGATTTTTCTCGAAAACGGATCGAGTTACCGAAATGAAACAAGAGTACATAATTAATGGAAAAATTATTGCTCTTTCAGGTTTTGAAACAAGTTTCATGTTAGACATTCAGGGTAAAAAATTATTAACTAAATTTTCGGTAAAATTGGTCGTAAGTGGCACCCTCTATGCTGAAATTACAACACGCATCTTATTCGTCGCCTAAAAAAATATAGTTTCACAAATTTTCAAGTTCCTAACCTACATATTTTCAGAATAATCGCAAAAAAAAACGATTTAAAATTTTAACTTTCAACACCCTGTATTTCCGAAACTATCAACTTTCGGATAAGGCATGTTTGCACAAATGGTCACCATTTCACGTGTAGTATCTTCAGCTTTCGATTTTCCCATTGTTAATTAATCACCCTGTATAAAGTCATAACTAAACACAAAATAATTCATGTTCATTTATTTTATGTCCAAGACAATATTCAGATGACAATGTCTAAGGACATATATATTTGAAAGATGAGGTCTGCTCGAGATTGAAAAAATTCCTCTGGTTGTCTGTTACTGTAGTTGCTGGATTGTTGTCGATAGTAATTCTAATATCAAAGTGTCCTTTCTTGAAATTAGATTGTTTTGTCAATCTACATCAATCATTTTAAAAGATACTTAAATACATGTGATATTTTAAAAAATGAATCATTGTACGACCTATGTTTGTATTAAAATGTTCTTGGTAAAATAGTGTGCAATTCGAGGCACTAGGTATACAAAAAAAAAATTATTATGGCAATGATGGTTATAGACATTTGAAACCTGAAATTGTAATAGATTATATATCTATGAATTTATGGTGAAATTGTTTACTGAGTAAATTAGTTAATAGTTTCATAAAATTTATTTTTGTGTAATCAGGTTTTGATATTTAATTTTTTTTTGTTTCAGATGCTGTACCCATCCAAGATTTAATTATCTTTAATATAAGAATTTGGAAATATAAACAAATGTTTTTGCTTATAGTTTGTTTTATTTTTTATAACTTAGGATTTAGAGAGAAATATTAAAAATAAATAACTACAAATGATTTAGTTAAATCGGTGATTCTAATCGTAAATTCAAATTATTGTTTTACTTGAAAGTACGAAATATTCAATGTAAGAAAATTTTTTCACTTCTTAGTAGCATTTTTTCACCTGTTGTAAAATTAAAAAAACCAAATCCTTACACTAAAAGTATATTAACAAATTTTGATAATTCCCCATAATGGGTATAAGCAAAAATCTTCAACCATTTATAAGATGCATGGGTGAAAAAAAACGAATTGGCCATACTTGAAGCAGGGCTTGCTTAAATGAAAATAAACTGAATTGGCACAATATTGATTTTTAAGATGTGGAATTTTAAGAAAAAATAAAAAAATATATAATACTCTAAAAAATATATTGTAGAAAACTATAGAAGTGCAATGAATTTATAAAAAGCTTTATATAATAAGACAGCTAGGTACCCACTCCCTGCTCTTTTAAGGTTTGTCATTTTATGTAAAACAAATTAAATATTTTTTTTTAGTTAGCTTTTTTGAGCTTATGTGGTAACATGTGACGTGTCAACAATTTCCATACCTCAATGTTCTCATTTTAATAAATTAGCTTGGGTATGTAAGTAAACTCATTTAAAAAAATTACAAAAAACAATCAATTTATGAGACATTCTTAGAACAAATAATAGGAATAACAAAAGTAATAGTCTAATTATTAATTAAAATCTAATGTCATTTAATAAATTGAGTTACTAGTTTCAATAGTAACCAAAGAATCGGCTTTACCAATAGAATATTTATTTGTATTTGAAATAAAGATGAACCTAATTATATTCAATTTTATTAAAATTATATAAAAAACTGATTTACAATATTTTAAAATGCTGATTACACTTTTGTTGGCAAAATCCTTGTTAATTCCCATAACTAAAAAGTGGTCAATCTCTGATTTTCATTTTTTATGTAGATATGTCTTGACAGAACTTCTCAATATAGGAGAGTTTGAAATATAAGACGGATGGCAAGTCTATAAAAAACTAATTTTGTATGCACTATATTTATCAGTAGGTAATAATTTGTTAATTAGTAGATGTCATTTCACTCAAGATGAATTATTCCGTAGTGCTGCTAATCCATAACAAAAACGTCTCAAATAAACCTTCCACATGAATTTCTTCATACTGTTGCTAGTATACTCTTTATTGGCAGTGTAAATATGGGCCAAACTCGTTTAATTTTGAGTTAAAAGTTATACTTGGAAGCCAATAAATCCAGCCTTTTAAAATTTTGGAAGATTAAAGTAAAATTTGATATACAATGCAATTAAGTGGAATAAGAGAAATTTTAAAGATCACATTTTTTAGTATTGAAATACTTTGGTGCGTTTTTGGCAACTTAAACCAATAATTTTTATCTTAAGTGTTAACCAACACATTTGTAGTACAGGTAGCCACTTTTAAAGAAACTTACTTTTGGTTTATGTACGAGTTGCTTAAGTACAAAGTTTTTCTTGAGTAGTATCTCTGAGTACAGTATAAAAGCATTGCATATATAACCAACATTAGTATAGACTAGGAGTGCCAATCCCAAACCATTATTTTAATTCTGGGGTTTTCGGCACTAATTTAACTAATCATAGGAAAATTTAAATGTCTTTGTAATTGTTAAATTAGTTAAGATTTATCAAATTTAAAGAAAATGAAAACAAAACATGTCTCAAATAAAATTTCAACGTAAAATGCAACAAAGTACAACAAAACATGAATATGTATGAATAAATTAGATCTTTTTTAAAAAGAAAAGAAAAAATTGCGTCAAAAAATTCTATATTTTATTCTTTCTTACTTATTCTGTAAGAAAGACTTAATCCTGAGGTTTTTGAGGTTCAAATTTAACAGGATCCGGATGGTTATATAAGTTTGTAAATAGTATACTCAAAGAGCATACTAGTTGTTTTTGTTAGACAAGTTATTGTACTATACTACGTATGTCGATTACGATTTGTATCTTGAAAACGGTTGGGTTTTTATTTTTCAACTTATTTATTATATTATTTTTATTTATTATTATGAATGTGTGAACTTTATTAAAAATGAAATTGTTTTTTCGTCCAAATTGACAAAAAAATTAAGATTATACATGTTCTCAAAGTTGACTCATTTTTTTTAACAGCAAGTAGAACTCATAAAAAAAGTCGATTTACCAAAAATCGTTTATATAAAAGTTGTCAAATAAAGCAATTATTAGCAATTATATAAAAAAATTGAAATTTAAAAACTTTATAATGATTTATTGCGTTTTTGAACCACTGCGTTGTGAAAACATAAATTGTTTGTTTACTTCTGATACTGAATGTCTTTTTTTGTAGTTGCACGGTTTTGAGTACGCTGGAAGATACATTGTTTCTTACTAACATGTACCTATCACATACTTCTGTATGTGGTACCTATAGTGCTCCTTGTTGGGTCGTTTTCGACAATTTCTAAAATTTCTTCCTCGATCTTCACCATTTCGCATGGAGGTCTTCCTGCGTGACCTCCTTGTTGTTCCTTCCGCGACACACTCTGTGTCGCGGAGTCTTATCACTAAATTTACAAACATCCGCGGAGCCGGATGATTTCGTAAAGGAAACCTTTCCGTGTACAAGCGACATGCTGCAACTGAATTTGGTTGACACTATCCCCGTAAGTTAATATTATGTCCTCTACTCCTCTAGTTAATTGTTTTCATGAACATGTGCCATTTTTATTGCACAAAAATCCACAAATTAAAAATAATATCACGCACTACTGTATGAATTATTTAGCATTGTCAAATCGAAAAGTGTACCGTGCAACTACAAAAAAAAGACATACTCAGTATCAATAGTAAACAAACAAATTATGGTTTACAACGGGAGTGGTCGAAAATGACATTAAATCAGGTTGTATTATAAAGTTTTTAAATTTCATTTTTTTTTAATAATTGTAAATAATTGCTTTATTTGACAACTTTTGTATAAACAATTTTTGGTAATCGACTTTTTTTTATGAATTCTACCACCTGTTAAAATAAATTCCTCAACTTTGAGAACACCCTGTATTTACTTCACCAGTTGGGTATAATTAGTGCCCGTTGCCAAATAAGTACAAAATGAATACTATTTTCAAAATTTTCAATTGAATTTGTATTGTACAAACACAAACCAAATTATAAAACAAGTATGTATGAGATTTGGAGAATAAAGATTTGGGGAATGCTACAGGTACAGGTCAACAAATATAGCTTTGCCGGTGAGATGCGCGGATGGGGAAGCGAGAGCGTTGGCTGCCTGAGAGAAACAGCTATAGCTTAAATAGTACAAATACATTCATGTGAACAAGTTTTCCAACTGAAACTTAATAATTATAGTAAGAACCTGAAATATATTTTCCATTATAACGAGCGTTCAAATAAAAACGTGGTCAAGTTGGTTCTGAAAATTTGGACGTAGGGCGTAGCGTATAGCAAATGAACTTAAACGTCATCTGTCAAAGCGCTATATCGCCGCTATCAATTTGAATATTTTCGTTTTAAAAAGCGTTTAAAATGGTGTTTTCTCAAGAACAAAAAGTGTTTATCATAGAGTCCTACTTTAGAAATGGACGCAAGATTGATGGAATATGGAAGTATTCTATTGAGGAATGTTTCATAGAATTTCAAAATCAATTTCCCGGCGTTGTTGAGTACAAAATTTTTCAAAGTGCAGTTCAGCGTTGTGTTAATGTTTTTCGTGAAACGGGCAGTGTAACAAGAAAAGAAGGAAGCGGCCGACCTAAAAAGCGGACTGAAGAATTAAAAGAAAATGTCCAACAAATAATGGAAAATGCGCCAAGAACTTCTGTACGTGTTTTATCACAAATGGTGGGAGTATCAGTCGGTACCTGCCACACAGTGTTAAAAAAAGATTTGCGTTTGTTCTCCTATCGTTTAACTTGTCAGCAAGAACTTCATGAAGTTGATTTTCCGCGACGGGCTGTATTTTGTGAATGGTTTTTAAACAACTACGGTGAACTTCATAATATCACCTTTTTTTCTGATGAAGCCTGGTTTCATTTAAGTGGTTACGTAAACTCACAGAATATGAGAATGTGGTCTTCTGAAAAACCAGATAACTTTTTTGTCGAGGGCCCTCTACACGCTCAAAAAATTGGAGTTTGGTGTGCTCTCAATCGAAGGAGGATTTATGGACCTATTTTTTTTAATGGTACTCTTACTGCGCAAAGGTATAGAGAAGAAATTATCGCTCCTTTTGTTAACCAGCTGGAAGAAAACGAAATTACAAACTTTTACTTTCAACAAGATGGCGCAAGGGCACATACGGCAGGCGAGACGATGAATATGTTGAGGGAAGTTTTCCAAAATCGACTAATAAGTCTCAATGCTGAACATGAATTTCCACCGAGGTCATGTGATATTACGCCGTGTGATTTCTTTTTGTGGCCTTACCTTAAAAACACTATTTTTGAACTGCCTATTCCTGATTTAAACCATCTGCAGGCTCGACTTATAGACAAGATTCGTGAAATTAACAATACCCCGAGCATCTTAGAAAATGTCTTTAATTCTTTGAGGAACAGGTGTGAAAAGTGCTTGGAACAAGGAGGGGGACACTTTCAGCAGCTGCTTTAATTTATTGTTATAACAAGGAGGGGGACACTTTCCGCAGCTCCTTTAATTGTTTGTTATTGTTATCACGATTATTCTTTAAAATAAAGTTATATAGTCATTAACGTTATTGAAACTGACAGCTGCTATACAGCTCGTTGAGAAATGAGGTTAAGTTGGTCGCTATAAGCTACTCCCTACGTCCAATGTGTCGGAGCCAACTTCGACCACGTTTTTATTTGAACGCTCGTTAGAAATGGTTGTTACCAACATTACAAATATTAAAAAATAATTATCAGCAGAGTAACAAATTCTTTTACAA